GAACTAATGGGTGTTAAGACCAGAAAGAGGGTGCTGTTGCTAGCCCCCACATTCAGAAGTGCCTCCAAACCGATGCCACCGGTCCTAACGGTGTACGGGCCAAGACCATCCTATGGCCCTTGGAGGCAAGAATGTGGGGTGCAGGCAATGGCACCCACTGCCTCGATGTCCACGCATATCTTCCAGGCCAACCCATTGCTCGTGGCTCGGGTTGAACCACCTGTTCAACCACCTCTTGGACCAACGTCTGGACCAGCACCAGAATCTAACCCTTCGCCACCACCACCTCCACCACCACCACCTGTTGCTTCGCCACCACCACCACCACCACCACCACCACCACCTGTTGCTTCAACGTCTTCTGGTGTACTTGCCTCGGCCCCTCACTTTCCATCTTCATGCTCTGGCCATATCTCGGAAACTGAGCGGCTTGTTAGAACAGCAGTAAGCATTATTATCATGTTTTATGTTCATCACCTAGAGCCTAGTTCTCATTAGATAATTGTTATTTTGTAGAAACCTCCACCACTTCCCAGGAACAGGAGCCAGCAATGCCACGTGGGCGACTGCAACAAAACCATTCGCGGTGGACAACTCAATCGCCATCTGAGGGAAGTCCACAAATTCACTTACTTGGAAATTAAGAAATACAATCAGCCCAGGAGATCGGAGAAGTCTTCCTCAAAAAACCCTTTGAAGGTGTGCCCTATTTGTGGAAGGCCTCAAGCCAACCTCGGGCGTCACCTACAGTCCTCAACCTTGCCAGACCACTCCTTGAGAAAGGATTCTCAAGCATACCTTGAGCTCATGAACTCATTGAGAAAGGACTGCGCCAGACAGAGATACGACCAGCTGAAGGAGGATCGAGACAACCTGCTCCTGCTGGACGACATGAAGAAGATCGTCTGTTCTCCAGCCTGGACCGAGGCGAGGGATAGCCTGCTCTACACCATTCTAGGATGTTACCCGCCTTCGCCTTCGGACACTGTCAAGATCCTCCACAGAAATTTCTTGATCTTTAACCTAACTCTCTTCCACTCAGCACGAGCTGGTGCACTAGCCAACCTCACTCTGGATGAATTCCACCAATGCCGCTTCAACCAGGAGACAGGTCTATTTGAAATCAGTGTCGCGCGGCACAAGACTGATGACTGTCACGGTCCTGCGTCCTTGTTTCTCACCGGTGAGGACACCAAGATGATGCTGGCTTACGAGCACTGTTGTCGAGTGGCACGACACGGAGTCTGTGAGTTCTTCACTTCAAACAACGGAACCGCCATGCCGTCGTCCAACATCAGTGATTCCTTGAAGTTGTTTGTGAAGAGGTGTGGTGTACACATAGATAAGGTCATCAACGCCACCCAGATTCGAAAGATGTGGGTCAGCCACTTCGAGATGGTCGGAAAGGGTGAGGTCGATATGAACAACATGCCCATCCTCATGAAACAGACGGCCAAGAGCTGGTACGACATGACCAGGAAAGTAGGGCAGGCAGAGAGGGCGCACAGCATGATCCGAGANTTAAGACTTTTTTAGTCTAAAAGTTGAAATATTACATGTATTATCCCATTATCATTATTAGTTATAAGAATTAATTATTATTTATAAAAATAATCATATTATAATAATTATACCATACATGTATGTTTATAAAATATAATTTTTGTTTCAACTTAGGAAATGTAGTTCTACACTTTAAACGTTATGCAAGCGATCAATGGCCACCTGACAGAACCAAGCCTGACACATTCCTAAAGAACGAGGAGAAATATGGTGTTTTGATATTTAAGGTGAGTGCTGAATATTTAATAGCAATTCTCATCCCTAACTGACATGCAAGCACCAGCTGCAGGATAGGGAACACTTTTTTGTGATAACACTTACTTACAAATTTGAACACCAGTAGCAAGAACATTACAATTATTGTTGCAAGGCCTCGCACTGCTAACAAGAAGCTTTTGAGATAAATTCCAAATCATCCTGTTCTCAAAACTCCTGTAAAATGATTAATAATTTGTATCATATGATTATTAATTATAACTGCTTTTCCCTAATCTTGAACTAACAACAAATACACTACAGTTTCACATTCCATGTTTCTATATTCACTTCTCACGAATTAAATATGTTGCATTATTTGCATCTACAGGAAAAAACAGTTGGTGAACCAACCTTTGCTACACCATCATCTCCACATTTCCAATTCGGACATGGACAATCTTAAAACAAGCACAACAAAGTATGTTCTTTTTTATTTTTTGCAACTTTTCTTGCAGTCTAGCTGCAGGATACCGTCGGACCAGGCAGATGTGAAAAATCAGACCGTGCGCTACTCAATCACAGCGCGCAAATGGCTAGGATACCGGGATAAAAAAAAAATCATTAAGCAGTATACTTTACCACAAGTCACCATCAACAGTGTCATTTGCATTAAAGCTTCATTTTAAGTTACAATTTAAAGTGACTGGATAAAACTGATCATTAAGATCATCAACAGAATTTCTTTCGCAAAAACGTGGATGCCATTGATATACCATTTGCAGTAGTACCTGAGTCATGGGATAAATGTAGCTGAACATCAACTTTGTTCGCAGGCTCCTTCAACATCCACTTCTTCAGGATTTATAACTTGTAGAAAGAAGACTTTGGTGGAATGACTACCTGGCAGGTTATTTACTACATTAATAATTACCAATCACAGTGGAAAAAATGCTTCTTTGAAAATATTGTCCAATTTGGAGGTTGTTTATAATTTTAGATCAATATGGCTGCTTAAGGGCACACATTATCAACAACAATTAAATGGAATTTATNCTGTTTGAATTTGTATGTAGACCTTTGTTAAGAAGCCATCACTAGTACCAGGGGTCACTGCGACCCCTGATGACCCCGCATCTCCCGACGAGGTTGAGGTAAGGACGTCGATTGTCGTGCCTATAATTCACATGTTCTAACAGCTGTTTGCATTTGTATGTAGAATTTTGTTAATAAGCCATCACCAGTGCCAGGGGTCACTGCGACCCCTGATGACCCCGCATCTCCCCCCGAGGTTGAGGTAAGAACTTCGATTGTCGTGCCTATAATTCACATGTTCTAACAGCTGTTTGAATTTTTGTATGTAGACTGTTCAGGAGGTGCCTCTTGATGTCCTCGTCACGCCACACCGACGCCGCATTAGCGATGACGATGTAAGACCTTTACTTTTGTTCGATTTGTAACTCACATGTTCTGACAGCAATTCCAATTTGTATGTAGACTGTAGAACCCTATCCATTTGCGTTAAGTCGTGGAACTTCTAAGGTAAGACCTTTGCTTCTTGTTCTTTTTGAAAATCAAATGTTCTGACAGCTATTTTAAATTAAATCTATTGAATGTAGGATGGAGATATGTTTCGGGGCACCAAGCTGCGTCTGCAACTTGCTTACACGCATGTACTCTTCAAGGCAGCGAAGGAGGCCAATCTGGAAAATCTCGCCATATACGTAAGGGCATCAACTGTGCCTAATGCACATTTTGTCATTCATATCTAACCAAAATATTTTATCAGGCAAGACATCAGTGGACGTTTCTCCACAAGACGTTAAAGAGAGACGTTACTAACCCATCACTGCCAGATAACATCTCGGTCAAAGACCCGATCAGCATCAAGAACAAGGATATGAGAAACTTCAATATCCTACGTTGCACTATACCCGGGCACCTTATAGATGACGGTGTAAGGCTTTTGTCTTTTAATTCGTTTTCTTTATTTTGACATGCTGAAAAAGATGTCATATTTTTTGATAGGAGATTAATGAGTTGGTGGAGCATGTCCCTCCTTGGAACGTCATCCCTGCGCCCGAGTACGGTAAAGACGATATTCCAATCTCGCGTCTGGCCCGAAAGGCGCCCAGGAAGGTAGGAATATCCCTTGCTTTTTTTGTATACCACCTATCAATACACTGATCATTGTTGTACACAACTGCAGGTTGATGATGACTCCAGTGAGGACGACATTCCCCTCTCGTCTCTGGCCCAAAAGAAGGCCAGGAAGGTAGGAATATCCCTTGCTTTTCTTGTATACCACCTATCAATACATTGATCATTGTTGTACACAACTGCAGGTTATCGACGAGTCCGACTCGGACGACTCGGAGTCACTGTGCAGCCACGTCTCCAACAGTGGAGACGAAGATAACGATGAGGTGCCACTGTCAGAACTAATGGGTGTTAAGACCAGAAAGAGGGTGCTGTTGCTAGCCCCCACATTCAGAAGTGCCTCCAAACCGATG